CTTTCAGTACTTAAAGGGAGCCTATAGGAAAGATGGGGACAATCTTTTTAGCAGAGACAGCAGTGACAGGACGAGGGGTAATGGTTTTAAACTAAAACAGGGTAGGTTTAGGCTGGATATAAGGAAGAAATTCTTTACAATAAGGGTGGTGAAACACTGGAACAGGTTGCCCAGAGAGGTAGTGGAGGCCCCATCCCTGGAAACATTCAAGACCAGGTTGGACAGGGCTCTGAGCAACCTCATCTAGTTAGCGGTGTCCCTGCTTACTGCAGGGGGGTTGGATTAGATGAACTCTAGGGGTCCCTTCCAACCCAAAACTTTCTATGATTCTATGATTTCAAAATCTGCATTATAAAAACACTTGAAATCATTAGAATTTTTCTTAGTCTTTCTAAGAAACTGAACTTGGAGCTACCACAGTATTGTAAATACAAGCATTTAAAGAAGGTTATTCATGAAAACATACATTACTATTTATGGGTATTAAATCCACTTGACATTGTCTGTAAATTTATTTGCCCTTTGATCTGTTTCTTCATGCACACCAAGAGTTTTAAACAGTATATTTATAATACGTTAAATACTGAAAGCAAAGCACAATACAAGATAAAAAATAATTTCACGTGAAAATCTTTTCTTATCCTATAGAAGAAAGAAATCGCAACAAGCGATTTCCTTATGTAAGCAACAATTTTCATTTAATTGCATATGTGTGCCCAAGTAATCTACTCTGCCTCAATGATGGACCTTTATTCTGCCTTCTGTATTCTCAGCTAACACATTCCAGACCATCACTTATCCAATGCTTAAATATAATCTGCAAAAGCACGTTCAAAAGCATCCCTGCACAGCCTCATTATTAATTACACAGAAGGGCTGGACAACATATTTATAAATATTTGCTGTAAATATATTTCTACCACTTTTATCTCAAATATAGATGAAATGGCCATATTTAATGAAAAACAAACCAAATAGACCCTGCCCCTGAAAAAAAAAAATCACAGTAAAAGTAGCGATATGGCTGTTGAATGTCCAGAAAGTTAAGTAACCTTTTGAAAAAGTTTTTGAATAGTTTTTTCCCGATGGCCTCTTTCTTCTCTTCCAAAGGACTTTAATTACATTCTTATCAATTTTCACTGAGACTACTACAAGTGATAAGGACCAGAAAGTATTAGTTTGCTTGCAAAGTCCACATGTTTATTTCTAACAAGCCAAATCTTTTTTCTCAAAAAAAAAAAAGCTTCTCTGATCTGTTTTCTCTTTACTGACCGAACTCATTGATTTTTAACCTGACTGCATTATAGAAAAACTATCAAGTGTACACTTAAACATACCCATACACAAAACAGAATCTTTCAAAATCAGGCAAGAAATAGGAATGAAATGAGAATGTACTTTTCTGTCAGTATCATATATTAACAGACTACGTCATAACACAGAAAATAATATAAGCTACTTATCTCACTGACTGTTTAAACCCAGCTTCAAAGCAGCACAGATTTAGTTCCCTTGTGTAGTAGACAATACGCTATTTTCAGAAATTTGTAACACTGGCTGCACATATTTCCCAAGGTTTGCATGCCTCATTGTGGAAGCTCAGAATGACAGCCACTACAGCTCACAGTAAAGGAAAATTAATTTCTCTGTAGAGAACTATAATATTCCTTAGTCCTTAAACTCTAATATTGAATGTCAAGACATACCTGTGAACTTCAGGAGGTTCCCTCTGGATTTTAGAACTTGCCTCCACAACCTCTTTGGCTACTTTTCCACTGCATTAAAACATGAAGTAAATATTCAAGCAAATACTAACATAAGCTCTTTACATGCCAAGCACTATACATATACAAACAATTAAGTTACATCAGAAGGAATAAAAGGAAAAGGCAAAAAAAAAGCATCCTGTGTAGTGGATATGTAATGTCCCAGATTAAAAATTCTGCTGACCTCTTGTCTGCAAAACTACTGAAGAAAGAGCAACCTTTTGTAGTAGAACACTAGGAGTGGGACTGGACTGTCCCACTAATGCACCACTGCTCCAGAGCTGCCCAGTTTCAGGGGGCATACAATCTCTACATTGGCCAGGCATCCTTGTCTTCACAGAAACTGCACCAAAAGTGGAGCCCTGTTCTGGTGAAAATGCTCTTTGACAGAAGTCTGCATGAAGCCTCCAGTTTATTTTATAAGTGACACTACAGAGACAACAGAAGACCTTCCGTGTCCTGACCTGGATTAGCTGTGAACAGGTCCTCAAGAAGGAAAAGCCCTCAATTTGCCCTGAGTAATTACTGACGTTTTCTCTTACTTTCTGAAATGGTTTACCATGAAAAACAAACAGCAAACACTCACCTATATCGAAATCTACTTCCTTTAAAAAATATCTTGCTGCTTGACATGGTCTTGATCTGACTGGATTTTGCATACCTTGAAGGAAAAGAACAGAGGCTGTCATGTTTTCAGCACAGAGGGAACCTGATAAGCAAAAATAAACAAGACCAGCGACAAGCTTTGTTATTTTTATACCACAAAGTAATATTCAATAATTGGTCTTTCCAACTTTTTTTAAGGCCTTCCTTTATACAAATTAGAATATAAAGGATACATGAAACAATTCAGACAGCACAGAACCACTGAACATAAAATGAGTGATTACCCAGATAGGAAAGCAAGAACATTAAATGCTGACACATGCTGCATCTCTAGGGACTTTAATTCACAAGATGAAGTAAAGACCATGGTATGCCAAAAGCCCCTAGGACATATTTGCCCTAACACCACCTTGTTTGTGGGAAGATATGGCTATTTCCACTTTCAAAGAAATAATAGAGAAGCGGTAACACTTGTTCTCCAAAAGTAGTTGCACTTACGATGTCTCTACACAGTCAACTCCTTAGCAGCCTGCATCATATCCTACTGCTTATCCCTAATCATGAAGTACACAGCAACCTTTTATCGCAGGCTTTCACCACAAAGATCATGGAAGAGTACCACAGACACGCCATCTCCTTGAAGTTCTCTGCCTTCAAAATGGTTAACTGATTTCATACCGACTCTCTCATTCCAAGACACTAGTGGACAATCTTCTACGATTTATATCTACTTGAAAATGACCACAACAGCCAACCCTGAGCCTGGATCGAGACAGGACTAAAGTTCTGTTTTTCAAGACATGCCAAGAGATTACAGCTTTATCTTAAATTCCAAGTCTCAAGCTCTTCTAAGCAGAGAAGACCAAATCTAACAAAGGCAAAGTGTCATTATCATTACTTACCTACACAACCTAGATACGTCTGTTCTAACCTAATTAGCATATCTTGTTGCTATCATACAGAACATAAACAGACAGGATTTATCTAATGCTGTTAAGTAACCAACAGTGCACACTGTACAGCTCAGTTTCTCTGAAATGTATGAAATGTATTTGCCGTTTCAAAACTACTACGCTAAGCCTTTATTTACATATTGCTTTGGCTTCAGTTTCATGTTTAGAGGATTGTTGTTATTCTTCTTCACTCTGTACATTAACTATCACTATTTTCCAATCTATCAGCCAAGTTGCTCTCCATTGAATATCACTACCAACCTTCACTTTACTAAAGCAGTCCTCTTTTAAGGCACACCAGAATTGAAACAGGCAAGCATACTTTGAAGAAATCATGCTAAAGAAATAACCCCACAGTGGTGTCCTGAAGACGTTTGGAAAATAGAAAAAAACATGAGAGCAGCAGCCCTGCAGACACCAAGGTCAGAGAAGAAAGAGGGGGCAGAGGTGCTCCCGGTGCTGGAGCAGAATCTACACTGCAGCCCATGGAGAAGCAGCCTGTGCCCCTGCAGCTCACCAAAGACCACACCAGAGCGGATATCCACACAGCAGCCCATGGAGACCCTGGAGCCATGGAGACCCACCCTGCATTATAGCAGGTGAACAGGTGCCCTGAGGGAAGCTGCAGCCCCTGGAGAGCCCACACAGGAGTGGGGTCCTGGAGCTGTCGTGGCTGTGGAGAGGAACCCATGCTGCAGCAGATTTATCCTGAAGGAATGCAGGCCATGGGAAGGACCCATGCAGGAGCTGTTCATGAAGGACACTGGGGCAGGGGAAGAGCATGAGGAGGAAGGAGCAGCAGAGAGAAATTGCTGTGAATGGACTGCAACCCCCATTTCCCATCTCCCTGTGCTCCTGGGGACAAGAAGGACATACAGGACTCAGGAATGAAGGAGTGAAGTTGAGCCTGGGAAGAAACAGGAGAGGGGTGGTTTTACTTTTGTGTTTATTGCCATTCAAAAATAGAGTAAGAAGGTGAGAAACAAATTAAATTAACCTTCCCCAAGTCAAGTCTGTTTTGCTCAAGACAGTAATTGTTAAGCAATCTTCCTGTCTTTATCCCAACCCATGAGCTTTTTCGTCTTATTTTCTCCCCTTGACCTGTTGAGAAGAACGAGTGAGAGAGCAACTGGGTGGGTGTCTGGCACCTAGTCAAGGCCAAACCCACCACAACCATGTATTCGTGACTAAAACCCGAACAGTTAATACTACAACCATTTAGTAATAAGAGCAGAGAGATGATATTCCTATGAGTGTCCCTCAGACATCTTTACTTCAACTACTAACTTCTCTCCTTCAGGTGGAAATTGTTTCCTTTCCCCGTATTTATTTCTATTAACATAAAATAAAACCACTCAAACACTATGCACTGTTTTCCTACTTACATGCACTTCCAATGGAAAACACTTCCTGATATTTTTATTCAGTCTCAAACACAGTAGATGTTAATATAGAGAATTAACAGCTGTATTTTTCCAGCTCATATTTCCTGTTTCTTCATTGAATATATCAATTGAATAGATTATATTGCTGCATTATTGTATCAGTGTTGAAACAAAAGAAGGAATCTTCTCCAAAATAAAGCCGATCATTAACATCCATGTTAGAAGACACGTTCTTCCTACTTAGATATTATTTACCCTTATAGCAGCCCCCTGGCGTTGCTATGCTCCAACATAGAAACAATAATTTTAAAAAAATATGCAAGATGCTCTAAGGAGAGACTAAGTAGCAAGAATAAAAGCTACTTGCCTAAAGGGAAGCACCAATAAACAGATCCAACAAAGTCAATTGAGGGCAGAAAGAACACATAAGAGCTTTTTAATGAGGAATTCTTTTCAGGTTCTTTTTTAGTGAATAGGGATGAAAATACTCATTTCTACCTGTCAATTTGCAGGTTTGTTGTTTTTTTTTTTTTAAATGAGATGGCTGGCATCTGTCAAAATGTATCTAAGAACATTTTCTTTTTTTTTTTTTTAAATCATTGCAGAGATTTTTTTTTTAATCAACTCTTGCTAAACCATGGATTTCAAGTGGGAGAATATTGCCTATCTGCAGAAGAGCCCAGAGAATGAAGCATAACAGATTGTTTCCTCCATTCTCAAGGTATTCAGCAGCATGGCTAAGATTAACAACTGTGTTCCCAGACACAAGTGTAGTACTGCGTTCATCCAACGTCACACTACAGAGCAGCAAAAACAGTGTGCTGGAAGAAGTGTGATTATTCACTGCCAAAACCCACCTGCCTCATTCAGATTTCAAATAATTTATAATACTGACTTGAAATGAAATAATATTCCCGATTAACTTGTATATTTTCTGTTTGCATTTTGAATTCTGTTAATGAAATAGAACATTTCACATTGAACAATCTTCTACTCCTGTGCACTTTTTTTTTTACTTTTAGTATAGATGATTATTTCATTTTACGTACTTGTAAAAAGCCTGGTTCTCCACCCCACATTTCCAAAGATGCTTGCAGGCTGCTGGTGTGGAGGTATGGAATGACAGCACAGCCTTTTTCTAAGTGCAAGGAAAAGAAGGCAAATAAAAGTAATGAAAATTTTGAGTTCTCAAAGATTAAAGCAGCTGTACCTGATGGCATCACCATGAACCAGATATACGGAAGACCAAGTTCTCCTGCACAGCCTCAATCTGTCGTTCACCCACAGAAGTACAACCCGTACATACCCGATACTTAAACTTCCCAGGCAATTGTTTCAGAAATAAAAGGAGATGCTTCAAGGGGGCAGAGAACAGCATAAGTGCAAGTGGCTTGTAGAATAAATCTGTACCAACTATATTCAGGCCAAAACTCAAAGGAGGAAAGTCTCTATGTTCAGTATTCCACATTGCACAGTTGCTGCACTACCTACCATCCACTTGTTCCTGTTCCCTACTTCTTACTGTTAAATTCTTGCAACCACACAAACGGCCCCTGGTACCTCCGGTATTATTTCCTTCCTCCATTTTCTATTGCTCACCTAGATTGTATCCAAAGCCATATTCTTGGCCTGTATCACTCTGCCCAAGGGGAAGAACTGATTATAGCATGCTGTAGGCAAAAATCTCGACAATTTCAAAGGCAAAAGCCCAACGATAGGACTCCTAACCATCTAGGACAGGCTCCAGCCTATTCAGCTGACCAAGATATAAGGAGATGATTCTAATTAGGCAAAAAATACCTCACATTGCTCCAGGTATTGATGCTCATCTGAATTTTCAATCATATACAGACATTGCTCATGCTTTACAGTGTGTCGCTATAGCTTTAGCACTTTAAAATCCATCAGCAACCAACACAGCACTACATGAATGTTAACTGAAAAATGCCTCAACCCTTTGCAAATTAGACACTCTTT